AAACTCTGCACAAAAGTAAACACTATGGATGGCAGGTTACGTTTCACTGCACGAAAAATTGATTTGCGTCAAATTTACTCAGTGCAAATTTGGTGAAAAATGTGCACTCTACAGTTAAATAAAGGGCAAAGATGCTAAATACCGCATTTGTCCTGAAATTTACAACCCCAAATAAAATGGCATGCAAATGCGGTGTTTAAAATTANGTGGACTTACGCCCTGACTTATCCCACGAGACTAATCTAGCTGTAAACTCTGCACAAAAGTAAACACTATGGATGGCAGGTTACGTTTCACTGCACGAAAAATTGATTTGCGTCAAATTTACTCAGTGCAAATTTGGTGAAAAATGTGCACTCTACAGTTAAATAAAGGGCAAAGATGCTAAATACCGCATTTGTCCTGAAATTTACAACCCCAAATAAAATGGCATGCAAATGCGGTGTTTAAAATTAACATCTTTGCTTTTGATTTCCCCCTAGTTTGCACTTTTACGCACCATATTTGCACCGAGTAAACTTGTGTCAATCCAATTTATCGTATAGTGTGGTTGGATTCATTTGCAACACATGCAGTTATAGCGATCACAATATTACCCGTTGGAAAGCTCATCTCGCTCGTCTCTCCTGGAATCAAAAAGGTGATCTAAGGGCTCAGTTTGATTCGATTAGCCTTTTTAAGGTCAGATTTTTTTTCTTTGGCGCCGTGAGAAAGTTGTCTACCATCGTGAGATGGCGTCAGATCTCTCTCCTCCACAGAGTTGATGTCTCAGTGATTTTGGTATCCCGGCCGTGTTTTGGGGTATCCTCGTACCCAAATAACTAGTGCTATAGGGATACCCAAAACACTGATCCTGCAGTCTGGCCACAAACTGGTGAGAGCGAACAAGTTATTGTTGCTTTGAATTTTGAGACAACGATTCTGAATTTAGTTGACTTAATTTCATTTTGGGGGAAAGCTACTCTCGACTTACAGTAAGATTAATTTGCGTCCCAATTAACAAAGTTGGCTATTCATCTCACATAATAGACAAGACTGACAATGACCTAATAATGGAACAACAGTACCACCCCGTTAACTCGAACTCTGAACGGAAACGAAACAAAATTCGAGTTATCGAGGGTTTATTTTCTCGGGGTCGATTGAATACTTTCCAAAAAAAAATGATCGTTAACTGATTTTAATTTCAGCATTTTAGTAGTATACAATAGAATGCAAATTATTAACTTATTTTCAGACGAAACTGTAACACGCGATTTAATATGCATTCTTGGGTCTTCTTGGTCTGCTGATCCGGAATGACATCGGTGGGCAATTAATTTATAAATGACGGTAGTGTATTCATTACAGAAATTTACTAGATTGACGCACAATCAAAATCACCAAAAAGCCAAATGCGCTGATCTCCTTGATTACCTAGGATTACCCAACCGACCCCATGCACTCGGTCTTAAGCTCAATAGCCCTATTTAAAACTAATAGCCGGAACTGAAATTTAGTTCGAGTTAGCGTGTAATTTGAGTTATCCGAGTTCGAATCAACAGTAACAACAACAACAACTTTATTGACTTTATCTCCGAAACAGTAGAGTAAAACGGACTGAAATGGGGTCAAATTATCCTTGGGAAATAACTGTCACATAGGACTTGGCGGGGAATTCCCTCCAGTTATCCGAGTTCAATTCAGTAACCGGGGTCCTACTGTAGAACTTTTTAAAGCAGGGGCATCTTCCTCCATGACACCGATACGACGAAACCAAATGCTCGGCCGATTGACCCTCTTTTTCTTTTCTTTTCACTTTCTCTAATTAATTAAAAAATCTTAACCCCATACTAAAAAAAAAAACATTCGAAACAGACGTAGAACTGAAAACAGTGACCTTGATGCAATCGTGTTCCTACGAAATCGAAAGCCGAGAAGGGTCTTCCGACTTCCGAAATGATCGATGGACTCGATCGTATAACAATGCTGTTATCACGATAGCACATATACAATTGGTAAAAAGTTTGAGACAGAAGTCCGTTGTCGTAGCCCGGCCCGTTCAAATATCTCGGTCAGATTTTGGCCAGTGAAGAACTGCGTGAGCAAGGCGAGTAGAAGAAGGAAGGAAGAAGTCTTGGGTAAAGGCCTTGCTCCTTCGCGCGGTCGGGTAACGCGAGGTAAGAGCCTGGTACAGACCATCGTTGCGTCCAGTTAAATACCAAAATATGTTCAGTGCACGTTAGAAAAAAGAGGCATGATAACGTACAATGATTAAATGTTATCAACCCACCAGTATTCGTTCTGAAAATTGCTGTAATATAAAATGTTATAGTTCAAGATTGTTTTGTCACTGTTTGAACACTTAGAATACTGAAAATACATTGCGCAGAAACTACAATTACTTACTACGTATATTATAAGCTATATAATTAAAATCATCCCAGCAAAACAGACAAGTAATCGAACGTAACCTTAGCTCGCACATAGGTGTTCCTATAAAGTTAATATTCGCAAGTTTTTTACTTGTTTCGTTACTGTTTCAAATAATCAGTTGGCGCTATCATGGTTAGAACTGTGGGACTTAATTTCGGGAGTCCTCACTTCCTTTCATTTTTGACAAAACGTGAAAATCGCGTCAAGAAGTGCGCACAAAAGTTCAGTATAGACCGACAATTTTCAAATTATTGCTCTGAGTTAAGATGGATTGAAAGCATGAACAAACCTTGTTGAAAGAGCTCCACGATTTCTAACCGAAACTGGTACCTAGATGCCAACTTATATACGAGACAGTACAATTCATTGTGTAACAACATTGTAAAAAAAGCCAGACAATAATTATAAATTCAACTCCTGTGTTGGTCTTTTGTCATGCATTAAGTGTGTAATACATGTTTTATAAAAAAAACTTGTTTTATAAAAAAACCGTAATAAACAAGAAACTGGACGTGGCAGTTATGGCGGAAAGACGCTCTCGATATGGCTCCGGAAAATTACTTATTGCCGTTCTGGCACTTTGTTTATACGCTATCACATACCGTAAGAATGAAGTTAGAGCTGATTTCTAAGGGTATCGCACCATCAGTGACGAATCTTTACAACAGATTTATTGAAAATAGTAACTGGCCAGCTATATGGAAAGGGAAGAACTCATTCCTATTTTCAAGAAAGGGGACAAGTATAATGTAGAAAATTATCGACCTATCACGACGCTATCGATTATTGACAAGGTTTTTGAATCACTGCTTGGCAAACAAGTAACCTATTATTTTGACCCTACTCTATCTCCAAGATTGACAGCATAAAGAAAGAATCACAGTTGTGAGACGACACTAGTAAGACTTACAGAGGACTGGAAACATGCTATCGACAGAAAGGAATTAGTGACCATTCTATCTACAGACATGAGTAAGGCTTTTGACTCTCTGTGTCACAATTTAGTCATCAAGAAGCTCAAAGCATATGGGTTCACTAATCAATCACTGGATCTAATTCGATCGTCTCTGAATGACAGATACAGTCGCGTAAAACTAGGCAGTATTAGAAGTGAACGGTCTAAAATGTCACGTGGTTGTCGTCAGGGATCTTCATTTGGTCCATTATTATGGAACTTATTCCAGAATGGCATGACCATGTCGGTTAAAGACACAAACCTTTTCATGTAGATGGCAATATGTTAAGTGAGGCAGGATGGATGATTTGTAGATTATCAGTTTTGCTTTGCATGGTATCAAATTTCTCGGTCTCAATAAGACACCGACTTTTTGACTGGCTTTTATGCAAATGTTACTGATATGGCTGGTAAAATTAAGCTTGTCATCTATTTCAACTCCAAGTAATTTGATTTGCGAAGTGTTGGCAATGATCTGATCTTCAATCTGCCGGGCCTCAGTCTGTTTATCTGAGTCAATGTTTCTTGGATTGATAGTAAGACATTGAAACTTCTCTGTGTTGGCAAGTAGAAAGTTATCCCTGTACCATGACATGGCTGACTTTCCTTGATATTGTAGCCTGAAAGATGCGATGTTGTAGTCCGACCCTGTTACATATAGCTGATGGTCGTCACGCGCACTTAGAGCAGTATTTAACTCCTATTCAGAATCATACGAAAACCTTCTGGTTCGTGCAGAGCTACCTTCACTACTAAATCGAAGACTACAAGGCATCGCTATATTAATGTACAATGTAAAATATGGCCTCGCACCGAGTATTGTTAATGAACTATTTAAGGGGAAAAGCGCTAGTTATTCACTAAGAAACAGTGATTTTGATATTCCGACTTTTAACACTATTAACTATGGAATGCATTCTCTTAGATATCAAGGACCTCATATATGGTCGAAACTAGATATTAAATTGAAAGGCTCCTCGAATATTGAATCTTTCAAAAAGAAAATTAGGAAAAAAGACAACGTCACTCTTAAACAACAACAATAGCTGCTGTAACCTTTGCAATTGTTAGAGACTACCATTTGTATACCTATTGTTTTATTATACAATCTATACATGCTACATATTTTACTTGTATATACATTATTATTATTATTTCTTATTTGTAAATAATTTTTATTTTTGTGTCCCCAATTTGTTGTGAAAACTAAATACATTGACACATTAATAAAGCTTTCACTTACTTACTTACTTACTATAGGACGGGGAGTATAAACACCTAGAGTGGAACATCAAAAGTACCAGGTATAAAACGACACCGGTTCCTCCATTTAACCGATATCGGTCAGATTTCTCTGAGAATTTCATGTTTGTGTTTCAAAAAATATGAGTACATTTAAAATCAGTTGGTACTGTGGCGATTGACATGGGCCATGACAAGGAATATCATTCCATCTGACTCTGTCCCAATTAAGACCAGTCGATGGACGTAGGAAGTTAAATCCTAAAAATTTTTACTAACCCCCATCGACGCTCGTTAAAACTGGTCAATAATTTTCCTGGATCTGCCTTAACACTGCAGGCAAGGGTTTGCACGAAGGCAAGTCTCACAACAGCCGAATTTCTAGTTTCTAAATGCTTTTTAAAACGCCTGCTATCTCAGAAAACAATTTGACCGCTTCAAACGCATTTGAGGGTGAAACATAATCTGGTTTGATTAATCTCACCAGCTCCTCTATATCTTCATTGTAATCAGCGCAATTCTCGGCTTGCATTTCTTTGCACGCAATCATATCATCTTTGTCTACATTTACTAAATAGTCCTGTTTTCCGTAAACTTCAGGAGTGAAAAACATAACGTCTGGTTTACCGCCTTCTACGTTGCACTGCCTCTGTCGCCGAATATGGTGAGTGTTCCAGCGTTCTGACACGAGACGCAGTTCTCGTCGAATTATAGGTATGAAACAAAACTTCAGGAATTCCTTGGTAAGATAGTCATCTCAATCATCCACCATCCGCCACCTCCCTCACGAAATTCGGACCAGCAAGCTTCGATACGCCGATTCCCAGAACTTTTGCCCTCCAGAAAACTTTCCCTTCCACTGACCAAAATCGTGCCATCGAAAAAACTGTTGAAGACTTCCAATAATTGTATTTTCTAATTCTGTTCCCCTGTTGCAAACGCATCCGTCTAGGCACCCCTTCGAGTTCCTGTACTGTGGTGAGGTAGTGGGAGGCAATAACGTTGGGACTTTTATTCGTTGAATTGACTTCCAACCAGAGAATTCTTCGAGAAAAGCCGTCTACAGCTCCATGAATAAAAATACCAAATGGGGAAAGTTTATCCCACCCGTCGACATGCTATAAAAAATTAGGACCGGGAGTACCATACCTTCTTCACTTTAGGGCACGTTTTTTGCGATGTTCAACTCCTTTGGGATCTTTGATGCTGAGGGCTCTCATCACAGTATCTCTTCTCACTTTCAAATCATACTTACGTCTAAGTCGCCTTGTCAATTGACGATATCCCATGAAGGAGCCACATGAATTCTCCAGTTCTTCCTGAATAGCATAGGCTCGATTACCAGCCGCTGTTCGGGAAAATGAGCCCGCACTCATCCCCGCTCATCTCTTCGGGGAGGATCAAAGACCGGACCCGGGAGACGGCGGAAGTCGAGCCTAAGAATAGCACTGACTATGTGTCCTATGAGGGATTCATTGTTATGCCCACCTCGTTTTAGCCCTAAACGCTTTAGAATTCGTTTTAATGTTTGCACAGAGCAAACAATCCCATGCCGTAGAACAAGGAAACCAACTATCTCAGCGTTGTTTAAACCTTGATTGAAGTACTGCTCGTAATTAGGTCCTCTCTTTCGAGATCTTCATCTTTCTGTAAGGCTGGTGTATAATCAGGCATAACGCAGGTCGAGAGGCAAACCATGTTTAAAATGGCCAGTAAATGTAACCGTATAAAAAAATTAAACTCATGTTAAACTCTTTCATTTCACTATAATTGGATTCACTTAGGCATCACTTAAGACATCAATCTAAAACGTACCAAAACAAGTGTCTAAAACATTTCTGCGTGAAGAACTTAAACGGCAGCAAAACACGCTGCATTGAGTCTGAACGGTCAGAAATCAGAAATCCGTAGTTCGAACTTTGTCATGTCGGAAGTCTCAACTCGGAAGCCGGAAGTCGGAAATTGGAAGTTGAAAGTCGGAAGTCGGAAGTCGGAAGTCGGAAGTCGGAAGTCGGAAGACCTTTCTCGGCTTTCGTACTACGAAATCGGTATCAGTTCGAAGGCACAGTTTTCTTCCAGCTAGAGACTCAGCCATGTTGTTTCGACTCGACACGTGGCAAAAACAACCAAAATGACGCTAAATTGACACGCTCTTCCCCAGGGCTACTCGGCTTTATTTCTAATACTAAATCCTGGAAATTCCGCTATCTGGGAAAATTTTTCTTGTGGAATACGATATCCTGGTCTTTGGAATTCGGAATGCAGCTCAAAGAATCTGGAATAAGTATTGGAATCCAGAATCCGAGGGAAGTTCCACTGACAAAGACGGGAATCCAGCTAGTACCTGGAATCCGGAATTCGCGGTGTGGAATCCAGACTGATCCAAGACTGTCTTGGATAGAGAGCTTTAGATTCGAGGACGAAAACGACTACGAGTACGAGATTTTTTCAATAATAAGTAGCAAGCGCGCGTAAACCAGCGCCATTTTGGCGGGAAAACGTGATATTCATCGTCATTCTGCTACGAGTAGGTTTGAATAAATTCTGCCGCAGTGCTCGTAAAAACCGCCAATTCTGCTCAAAATTCTGCTGGGACGCCCTTATTCTGCTCGATCTTCCCAAAAAAATTCTCGGCCCTTCGGGCCGTATTTATTTTCGCCATTTAGCCTCCCAGCAGACGTCCTTTAGGGTTCGTTCGTCACGCATTGACGAACGAACCCCAAAGGACGTCTGCGTGGAGGCTAAGCAAAATTGCAATTCATCTTACTTTTAATGTGAGTGCCTTGTAGCCCTTAAATAATCAAATTAATCACAAGTTATTTCCCATTTGTTTTTAATTTAGTTTTAAATTTTTCGTACAACTGTCAGTATGCATGTCATTTGTGCCGCTGATTTTCCTCCGTGTTCTGCTCAAATTCTGGTCGAAAGTGCCTTATTCTGCTGGCAGAATGCTCGCCTAAAAAAGTGCTTACTCTACTCGAAATCCTGCCGGCGGAATTTATCCATTAAGCCCAGCTACGAGTGTCGTGTTAGCGGACACAAGTTATAAACTGTGTTCTAGTTTTATTAACCTCCTTCAATCAAGATAACAATACTAATTTTTTTGGTGAAAAAGATGTACAATGAAGCTACGCGGGGTGTCTATTATTTGAGAATACGCGAAAAAACTACACGGAACGATTTGCAACGACGATTTTTAGCGCAACACATTGTTGCGAAAATGTTTCGAAACGTTGCAACATTGTTCCAACATTGCAACGCAGTACTTTAAATGATCTAACTGCGTGTTAGTTTTAGTGGTTTTTCGGTTTACGCGACTAGAGGAACTAATGGATCCTAATGGGTTGGCTGGGGTACGTGAGCCAGAATTCGAGTTATCGGGATAAATTTTGATTAGGACGGAACTGAAATTTAGTTCGAGTTAGCGTGTAATTTGAGTTATCCGAGTTCGAATTAACAGTAACAACAACAACAACTTTATTGACTTTATCTTCGAAACAGTAGAGTAAAACGGACTAAAATGGGGTCAAATTATCCTTGGGAAATAACTGTCACATAGGACTTGGCGGGGAATTCCCTCCAGTTATCCGAGTTCAAGTAACCGGGGTCCTACTGTAGAACTTTTTAAAGCAAGGGCATCTTCCTCCATGACACCGATACGACGAAACCAAATGCTCGGCCGATTGACCCTCTTTTTCTTTTCTTTTCACTTTCTCTGATTAATTAAAATATCTCAAACCCATACTAAAAAAAAAATCGAAACGGACGTAGAACTGAAAACAGTGACCTTGATGCAATCGTGTTCCTACAAAAGCCGAGAAGGGTCTTCCGACTTCCGACTTCCGAAATGATCGATGGAACGATCGTATAACAATGCTGTTATCACAATAGCACATATACAATTGGTAAAAAGTTTGAGACAGAAGTCGGTTGTCGTAGCCCGGCCCGTTCAAATATCTCGGTCAGATTTCGGCCAGTGAAGAACTGCGTGAGCAAGGCGAGTAGAAGAAGGAAGGAAGAAGTCTTGGGTAAAGGCCTTGCTCCTTCGCGCGGTCGGGTAACTGTGAGGCAAGAGCCTGGTACAGACCATCGTTGCGTTCAATTAAATACCAAAATATGTTCAGTACACGTTAGAAAAAAGAGGCATGATAACGTACAATGATTAAATGATATCAAACCACCAGTATTCGTACTGAAAATTGTTGTAATGTAAAATGTTATAGTTCAAGATTGTTTTGTTACTGTTCGAACACTTAGAATACTGAAAATACTGCGCAGAAACTGCAATTATTTACTACTTATATTATAAGCTATATAATTAAAATCATCCCAGCAAAACAGAGGAGTAATCGAACGTAACGTTAGCTCGAACATGTAGGCAACGTAATTTGATTAACGTGTTTCAGCTCCTATATAAAGTTTATATTCGCATGTTTTTTACTTGTTTCGATATTGTTTCAAACAAACAGTTGGCGCTATCATGGTTAGAACTGTGGGGCATTAGCAAATTTAACTTAATTTCGGGAGTCCTTACTTCCTTTCATTTTTCACAAAACATGAAAATCGCGTCAAGAAGTGCGCACAAAAGTTCAGTATAGACTGACAATTTTCAAATTATTGCTCTAAGTTAATAAGTTGGATTGAAAGCACGAACAAATTTTGTTGAAAGAGCGCCGAGGGTTCTAACCGAAACTGGTACCTAGATATGCCAACTTAAATACGAGACAGTACAATTCATTGTGTAACAACATTGTAAAAAAAGCCAGACAATAAGTATAAATTCAACTTCTGTGTTGGTCTTTTGTCATGCATTAAGTGTGTAATACATGTTTTATAAAAAAAACTGTCATAAACAAGAAACTGACGGGGTATAGGAAGCTACAGGACAGGGAGAATAAACACCTAGAGTGGAACATCAAAAGTACCAGGTATAAAACGACACTGGTTCCTTCATTTAACCGATATCGGTCAGATTTCTCTGAGAATTACGAACGAACCCCCAAAGGACGTCTGCGGGGAGGCTAAGCAAAATTGCAATTCATCCTACTTTTAATGTGAGCTAGTGCGTTATAGCTATTAAATAATCAAATTAATCACAAGTTATTTCCCATTTGTTTTTTAATTTAGTTTTAATTTTTTCGTACAACTGTCAGTATGCATGTCATCTGTGCCGCTGATTTTCCCTTAGTGTTCTGCTCAAATTCTGCTCGAAAATGCCTTATTCTGCCGGCAGAATGCTCGCCTAAAAAAGTGCTTACTCTACGCGAAATTAATCCTGCCGGCGGAATTTATCCATTAAGCCTAGCTACGAGTTTTAGCCAGAATGTCGTGTTAGTGGACACAAGTTATTAACTGTGCTATAGTTTTATTAACCTCCTTCAATCAAGATAACAGTACTAATTTTTTTGGTGAAAAAGATGCACAATGAAGCTATCCGGGGTGTCTATTATTTGAGAATACGCGAAAAAACTACACGGAACGATTTGCAACGACGATTTTTAGCGCAACACATTGTTGCGAAAATGTTTCGAAACGTTGCAACATTGTTCCAACATTGCAACGCAGTGTTGCGTAAAAAGTCGTCGTTGCAAATAATCGTCCCTTGTAACATTACCTTAAAGGTCCCTAATGTCATAGTGGCGGAAACAAGTTGTCAAACGATAAGAAGTTTTATCATTTTGCTATCGGGAGAGGGTTTAACCTCCTTCAGTATAAATAACCATACTAACTTTTTGTCGGAAAAAAGTAAAGTGAAGC